AGACAGAGTGAGAGAGAGAGAGAGACAGAGTGGAGAGAAAGAGGAAGAGAGAAGGAAACCTGCTGTAGGCTCATCCACAGGGACGTAGAGATTTCCTTATAAGACCACGTTATAATAAAAAATTTATTTCATTGCGATATCGATTAAACAAATTATCGCCACTTCGATTATCAAGTTTTGCCATATCGCCAATAAGAATGTTATTTCGTTTCTAGGTGAAATAAAAAGATGACGTTGGAAATATTTCGACGTTTTCGTCGAAAAAGAAAGAAATTTTGAAAAAAGACAAATCTTATTAATTATTCGAAAAATTGATACATCTTGTATCATTATTTATTATTATCGTTATATATTATCGTTTAATAAAGAACAGAGGGGAGAAACGCTTGATATAAGAGGAAAATCCACGATACGGCATTGCAGGCGTTTTATAGCTTTTTGCAGATTCTATTAATAAGGCGAGAAGCGCCCCTTTGATTCCCTCCAAAAATACGGCACTGTCTATATTGTAGGGTCGACGGACATAGTTCAGTGGGGTGCGCGCGCTCGGCCGGAGAGCCGTGTGGCCGAACCCTATTCCGTCGATTCTTTCTTTTCGACGGATCGAAATATCAAAACGTTAAAGGCAAAACGAGTTAAAAAGAATCGAAATTTTGTTCTTTGCTTAATCGTATTCGAGCTCGCAAAGTTCGACTTTAGGAAAAGGAAACGTGCGTTAACGTGCACGATGTGAGTGACATGCATGAGTGAAAATTAATCCTTCTGTCAGATCGGTGGAGGAAGTCGAAGAAGAGGAGGAGGAAGGAGAGGAGGAGGAGGTGGAGGAGGAGAAGAGTGATAGAAGGGAGGATCGCGACGCATGTCTTCTACATCGAGAGAAATCTCTCTCGAAAGGACCCGAGAGCAACAATAATTTAAATCCATCAATGGTAAGTCTTAAAATCATTCATAAAGGACTAAAAGCGAATTGAACGATCGAATGAATATTCTGTTCCTGGAGAATATTTATTTCCGAGGAAATATCCTTCTCACGCGAGAATATTGTTGAAGACGAGTTTGATATCGCGAATCAAGCATTCAAGGCTGCTCTCGTTAAGCCAATCTTCGTCGGTTCGGTAGACCTGCACCACTTCTCCATTAATTGATACAATTGTCTTACGTCGAAGAGACTATAATAGTGCAATGTTTTTTACGTGCCGTCTGATGTAACATTCTGCATCTACAGAATTTAATTGCTCGATATTATTGCTAGATACTATGATACTTTGATACTCGCTGCGATATTTTTGAATATGACGCGAAATAATCTCTGAACTTTGATATTAATCGTTCTTTCAAGCGAATGACGATGACAGAAGTCACGTTGACGTTCTTACAGGAGCAACCGGAAGAATCGACGCGGAAACTGTTAGAAAGAGAATTGCGGCTTTTAGATCCACGTGATTTACGCTCGCACGCTTGGTATCATGGTTGCACGCTCCGAGGTGGTAGAAAAGGTGCTGAAGCAGAAGTACCCAACGACGGTGATTTCCTCGTCAGGGATTGTGCCTCGCAACCAGGCAACTATGTTCTCACCGTACGATGGAAGGGACAGCCGCTTCATTTCGTCATAAACAGAGTAAGCCGATGATATCTAAATGAGATTTCATTAAGATCAATCTGATGCAACTTGACGAATTCTTTGTACCGTCATTAATCTATTGTAGTAAAAATAACTTTTAATAGAGAAGTTCGACAAGATATATATATACATATATATATATATGTATATATATATATATATATATATACATATATATATATATATATATATATCTGCAAACTGGTTCTGCGAAGAACCCGAAAGATAATGAAAAAGGAAAAATTGCAAAAAAGAAAATGTAGGAACCGCTTGTAACTTTGAAAATGGATATACTATGGAGATAAAAATCCAAAGTAGAAACGGATAAGATCGTCGATAGAATCGTAATGAGAATTGGTCTAGGAGGCATGCGCTATACTAAAGTGAATTTCGTATTAAACAGGGCCTCTCTTTTATAGGTCGTAATTCAGCCGGAAACGGTCTACGAGAGAGCACAATACCAGTTTGAGGACGAAGCCTTCGACACGGTCGCCGATCTGATAACCTTTTATGTCGGTAGTGGTAGGCCGATAAGTCAAGCGAGCGGTGCTCGAATCATAACTCCAAAGCCAAGATCGGTGCCACTGACCTGTGTAAGCGGTGGCCCTACTGTTAATCAACATGGCTCGAGTCCATCCTCGTCGTCTTTGTCGACCGGTTCACCACCGCGATTGCCAAGGAAGCAACAACGTAGCCATTCCTTGACAGCGCAACACCACGTACCAGATCAGCATGGAGCCAACAGAGAGACTGGAAATCAGCAAGCAAATGCTCCAATACAATCGAGTACATTACCAAGAATACCACCTATACAGAGTCAACCGCCTTCGTGTTCGTTGTCATTGGGCCGTCAAAAAATTATCAGAGTGATCTCGGATCCAGCGCTTCAACAACAGCAACAACAGTTGCAGCAACAACAGCAGCAACATCAGCCATTGAATCATCAAAATACGATAGCGGGTTCTGCTCCGCCGAAACCACCAAGAGTACCGTACGTTGGTAATCATCAGCAACATCATCATCATCGTCACCATCATCATCAGGGTTATCAAGCTTCCGGAAGTGATAGTGGCAACGGATCAGGGGACAGTGAATTCGAGACCAATAACTCAGGCGGTACCAGTCAACCGTCGTCGTCCGCACCCATAAAAGGTGTGGTCATACGAAGTCATTACAATACCAGTAACGACGGTACAAATGGTAATAATGGCAATGAATATGAGCTAAGTGCCGAGGAACAGCTCGTAGTCGCTGCTCCTTCGTTAGAAGTCACGACGGTGCTCGATATCGAAGGTTTCTCGACTCTTTTATTACCAGCTGGAGAACATCGGCCTCTCGATCCGACCGCGCTAAGAGGCGTCTCGGGGATGTTGCACGATTCGGCACCGAGGGTCTTAGCGTCGCATCTCACCAGGATCGATCTCGAAGTCGCCCTACAGCCTGGTTCTGGCAATCGTAGTGGATTGAGCGGAATCGAATTAGCAACGCTACCTCACGGTAGACAAGCTAGGATGGATCTTATCGAAAGGTCCGAGTGTTTAAAGCTTCTAGTCGCGGTGACCGTTCTAGCCGGTGCTACGGCAATCGAGAGAGCGGCGACGATCAGTAAATGGATAAAGGTTGCGATAGATACCAAAACGGCTCTAGGAAATCTTTATGGTTTCTGCGGTGTAATGCTTGGCTTATGCCTGCCACAAATACAGAGATTGGCAAACACGTGGCATCTTCTCAGGCAAAAGCATACGGAAGAAGCTTTTAGCTTCGAAGCTAAGCTAAGGCCTACTCTTCGTGCCATGAACGAATGCACGAATCCTCAAGCACCTAATACGACGTTACCCCATCTTCTACCAATCGCTTTGCTTGAGGAACGTGGCCCAGAGGATGTTCTCGGTAGAATGATTCACTCTTTCTTTTTTTTTTTTTTCCCCCTTTATTAACATTGCACTTGACTTTTTTTTCTATTGAACTGACAGTTTTCACTGAAATGAAATTTTCCGTTATCGTAGGAACTGTAGCACCTTCTGGACTAGCAGCAGCGATACTCTCGCCTTGGGAAAACTCTGCACCCGATTGCGGTCTTTCCATAGTTTGGTCTCATCTAGAAGCTGCGCGTAAACTCGCCGAGAGCTTGCCATTGTTCCGACGAAACGCTGAGATCGCTTTGGAAGGTTGTAGAAGTGACGAATTGCTATCTGATGCGTTTCGAACGGAATTTCATATAAAGTTTTTATGGGGTAGTCGGGGTGCCACGGTGGCACCCGAGGAAAGGCATCTCAAGTTCAGTCAGGTCCTGGACGCAATGTTCGACAAGTGCTCCGCTAGCGAAGTATCGGCGTAAATAAAATAATAGAGTTATACCGAACCTCTTGTATTTCGAAGTCTGTAGGATCTTATTAGAAAACTTAAAGTTATCGTTTGGTAAAAAAAAAAAAAAAGAATTAAGGACATCGATACAAGCGATGCAAGCGACATATGCAATCAAGCGACGATTATGTTGAATAAAATTGTTCCGACGAATGTTTTGAAAATAATCGATTGCTACGAACAACGTAGGCGGCTCACGAACGGACGGCAAAACGTATTTCGTGCGATAAAATCGAACTATAAGAGCCAATTGAGTTGCCGTAATCTCGTTTTAATATTGCCTATTAAAAAAATCAAAATGTTCTCTCCCTTAGTGTGGCTCCCCGTGTACTTATCATTACGAATGTAATCGAAAAGTTATATAGTTATATTATCGCCATAGAGTAATGCCATAGGGATCTTGAAGGTCAAGCATGCCACCCTTGACGGTCTTAAAAAAACCAATCTCCTGCAATAATATACAACCCTATCCGTGACAATACAAAACAATATTATAAATGAAATTTAAAAAAGTCAACGAGAAATGCGACTGCCATTCAAGTACAATAACGTACTTAATTTTAATTGATTGTATGTTTGGCCAATATTACGTTGTAAATGTTGTTCATGTTTGTTCATACTTAATATACACAAGTAAAAAAAAAGCAAAAGCATTCGAGAAAATCGATAATGGTCTCGAACCTAACTTTTCAATGCGTTTAAAATAATGTTTCATTATTTATCATACTCCTTTATGATTTAGATCGTTCATTTGAGTTCTTTCATATTGCAGAGGTAATTAAGTAATTTTCATCTTCTTTACAAGCATCGCACGCATTTTAATGGTATTCTAGTTCAATTAACTATTTATACATACTTTATCCACACAACAGCTACACTTCTTTGTTACGTCATAATTGTTTTTCATAGAGAGAGAGAGAGAGAGAGAGCATAGACATCGTACTATCCACGCATACAGTTCCACCATATTCGACTTCAGCGCCATTATTACTACGAGGATATCAAGGCAGTATGTAGAGGCATGCATATAACATAATATATTGCGGACCAGTCATTTTATTACTAACCAATAGCTAGTTATTTTTTTTCGTACGTAAGAAATGTGAGATATCTCGTCAAGGAAGGGCTCCTAACGGTACAATACAAAACAATAAGATATCTGTGTGATCCGTCCGTTAGGTTATACGTTACATATATTCGATAAATTAATACCAAAGATTCGACTATTATTTACAATGAACAAACGAAATATTATAAATTGAGTATAAATTGAGTATGTAACAAATTGAAAATTACATGATCGAGGCAGATTATTGTAAAAATGTATCATTTAATTATAAACAACGAAAGTATTGTTAAATTAATCGATGCATTTAATTTTATAATTATTGAAATATATTGCGATTTCGTCCAATCTCATTTACCGCCATCTCGATTTGGAACGACGCAAGGTGGCGCTTATTTTGACTCGTTTTCATTTGAATAGTCTTGTTATGTGTCAATTGCGTTAACACGCCGACAATATAACCGGTGCAAGGTGGCTCGCGTTATTTCTAATATCCTTGAAATTTTATACTTTCGAGGATGCAAATTTTACGACAATTGGACGTGCATCCAAAGGTGCGCGAAGAGGCCGATATTCTCATTAGAACATTCAGCGGTGCTGTCGGTAATATATGTTTTTATTATAGGTTAGAACATGACGTTTGTCAAATTGCTCCAGATTTTAACGTCATTTCGTAATATTTCTTACTTAATTGTAAAACGTTCTCTTATCTGAGCAATTCAACAGATTGCCTTTCCTTTATTATTGTGAACTAAAAAAAAAGTGCTGAATGTTTAATTAACCTTAAAAGTTTTGTGTTTATCTTTATAAAGAACGATTAACCCATTATCAAACCCATATTTTTTTTTATACTTGTGCACGATGGTTTTACTAACATAATTTTCACACATAATATTATTTAATAATCAAAGGAGAAAAAATATCGTATCTCTCAAAGGCCAATATATATTGTTTACATTTGATTATTATTGAATGAACGTAATAGCGAGCAATCGAATTTGTTTTAAATAATCAAGTAATTATGCGAGTAAAGTTGGAGATTCAATAAAATTTACATTTTATTTTCAGTGACTATTATTAGTACCATTATCATGGGAATATTATTTTTATCCGAAGTAAACTATTATCTTACGCCTACGCTAAGTGAAGAATTATTCGTGGATACATCAAGAGGATCAAAATTAAGAATTAATTTGGATATAATAGTCCCTGCGATATCATGCGATCGTGAGTATAAGATGTTTTACTTATTGTATTATGTGGAACGACGTTTCATGTCCGAAAATGATACTAATAATGCTGCGAATTTGTTCTAGTTCTATCGATTGATGCCATGGACACAACTGGTGAACAACATTTGCAAATAGAACACAATATATTTAAGCGGCGTCTGGATTTAAGTGGAAAACCTATAGAAGATCCACAAAAAGCAAGTATGTGTACAAGCGATTTGAATCAAAGCATTATTACCCTCTATGGGAGTTATTTAAAAATATTTTCACGATTTCCTAATTCGAACAAGAATTAGTCATATATTGTATATCGACTAAAAACGAGTGAACCTTTATTTTGTTAATGCACCGAGTATACATATAATAAAATATAATCGTGAAAAATTATATTAATTCTGAATGATATGATAGGTAAACAATAATGAATATAATTACAGTTATATTCCACGTTTAAAGCCATAGATCGTTTCACGTAGGTTCTTTCGTTGGTGCTATTATGATGCACCAACGTAACATTACAAAAATCCCATTATCTTCTAAAGAACAATTAGTGTAAAGTGTTATTTCGAGGAAAATATGTAAAACATATGTATCTCTACGTAGATAATATAGGAGCAATTCGTGATTTATGATGAGGAAGTTGTCATCATTGTAGGTTTTCAATGAGACATTGTTCTAGATAAGTAGATGATTAATATAGTCAATAATATTATAGGGTCTCTTATAACGTTACTACTAAAGAATTCTTAAAAGAAGAATACAATATATTTCACACATTTATATATTATGTTCAATTAATATTATATACAATGAGTAATCTAATTATTATATTGTACCATAGATATTACAGACACAAAGGCTCTCAGTAAAACTACAGAGAAGGTAATTGAATAATTTTCTTTATTTATCAATATTATTGATGTTTTACCGTTTTACCGATTATACAACTCGTAAATAGTTAATTATTTTCCATTAAAGAAAATCGATATATTTTTCTATAGACAATAGGAAATATTACAGCTGAAACATGTGGAGATTGCTATGGAGCGGCCAATGAAGCATCAGGTATAAAGTAAGTTGCCTTGTAAATTTGTCAAGTTTTTCTTACAAAGAAGAACTTTCACGTATAATATTTTTAGATGTTGTAATACGTGCGAAGATGTAAAAGAAGCATATAGGCTTAGGCAATGGGCTCTTCCTGTCCCATCTACGATAAAACAATGTCAGAATGATAAATCGGTAGAAAAGATGAAACATGCTTTTACACAAGGCTGTCAAATTTATGGTTATATGGAAGTAAATAGAGTGGGTGGAAGTTTTCATATTGCACCAGGTGATAGTTTCTCCGTTAATCATGTACATGGTATGTCAACGTGACTTTTTAATTTCCATTAAATTAAGCCTAATGTTATGAATTTAATTATATAACCATTCAAGTCATTTATTAGGGCACAATATAAGAAATAAGAAATAAGAAATGAAATATTTCTTTACAGTACATGATGTGCAGCCCTATTCTTCGTCTCAATTCAACATGACCCACAAAATTCGCCATTTAAGTTTTGGATTAAATATACCAGGAAAAACAAACCCGATGGATGACACTCTTGTAATTGCAAGGGAAGGTATGCTTAATAAGTATTTTATTAAGAAATCAACAATATGCTTTGTATTATAATCTTATGTAAGTTTAAGGTGCGCTCTGTTTATATGATTTTTAAAATACTAGCATCTTATGCCCATTCCAATAGCCATAAATACGCCGAATGTACCTCCACCTTGTACCATGCTTTTACCAAGATGGCCTATCAATTCTCTTCCTCTCAATCCATATCTAAATCCAAAACAAAGTGTGATTAATGTACACAATTTGAACAGCCCTTTTGTTATATATATTATATATATTCTTATATACCTGAATGCTGCAAATCCTGTTAGAATTGCACCAGAGGTCATACCTACGCAGAAACCCATAGTGAAACCCATTGTAATCCTATCCCAGCAAGAAACTTTCTGCTGCTGCACTGTACCTGGTATAACTGCCATCTATTAGACATTAAATTAATACACATTGATATTAAATTTATTATTAACACTTTTTATTAGTCATCTTGTTAATGGCTTTTTTTCTCTCATAGCTTCATTTTTATAAGAACTAGTTAACCACAGATGTACAATAAATTTTTACCTCTGAATGAAGAAAGAGAAAAAATTTTTCACGATTCTTTAATATTTAGCTCAGCAAATCGCTAATCGTACGTACCGTATAACCTCGTACTAAATCACTCGATAATGCTTATTTCTTTAAATCTTTTCTTTTCTTTTCGTTTTTCCTTTTTTTTTTTTTTTTTTGGTTAAAAGCGCTCAAAGAACCGGGGACTCAACTTGTATTACGATATTTGAGGCGCCATATTAGTTTTGCGAGATGAAAAATGAAAAAGCAGCGACATATGTTTCTCCTGTTACTTCCGTCTCGATTGATATCGCTGTATCGATATTCACATGGCGGGCTATTTGAATGAGAACAACCTACTAAAAGTTTAATTTCCCCTAATTCATGACAATTAATATATTACTTATATATATATACATATTTACTTTTTTGCTTTCAGGAGCAATGATGTTTTATCATTATATAAAAATTGTACCGACTACCTATGTGCGTGCGGATGGTTCAACCCTTTTAACAAATCAATTTTCTGTAACGCGGCATTCCAAGCAGGTTTCTCTGTTTACTGGCGAATCAGGCATGCCTGGAATATTTTTCAGTTACGAATTAAGTCCTTTGATGGTCAAATATACGGAAAAGGCAAAATCTTTTGGACATTTTGCGACCAACACCTGTGCCATTATCGGCGGCGTTTTCACGGTAGCAGGATTGATAGATTCACTTTTGTATCATTCAGTACGAGCGATACAAAAGAAAATTGAACTAGGAAAATACAATTAGATTGGGAAATGTGTGAACAAAGACAATTTCGAAGTGCGCGCATCTTTCTATTGGAATTTTTCGATTTTTTATTCGCACAAAGGACAATTCATATATATATATATATATATATATGATCTTCAATCCGTACGTTGTGACAAAAGAATCTCGCAGAAAAAGTGAACTTTGTATGCAGCAAAGCTGATCAGTAATTATAACAATCTATGTATCATAGCATTTTATTACACGTTTTTGGACTGTTTAATCGCCAGCAACAAACAGCATGTACGTCCAGACCAATTGCGATGTAAAATATTTGTGTATACCAAGTTTGTAAATATCAAGAAAAACAAATCAGATAAAAGAAATACAAAAATGTAATAAAAGGAAAATATGAAGGAGAAGGAGGAGGCGCTTATCGATAAAAATACTTTTTCTTTTTTTTTGTCTTCTTTTCTTTTTATTAAATAATTGAATTAGTCGTAAAACACTTATATACTTTTTAGGTATAATTCATAAGTATCGCTGGATGTTTTTGCTACATTTTGACAAAACTCGTCGTCCGTGCCACAAATCAAAGACTTGAGTGAAACATACAACGGTACAGTTGGATCGTATTGCGCTCTACCCAACTTTACCAAAAACATATGCCTCTGCTCCAATCTGCGTTTTCTGCATAACAAGACGTATGCTTGAGACAAAATAAATTGATGAGATAATTTCATCTGATTATGCGCATAGTCAAACGTATCCGTTATATTTTTTCTACCTGAAAATATAAAAGATAGTTAGAATTTTCAGTTACGAATTAAATGACGGAATAGATTGTATTATTTTATTTAAAGATTGAAATTCTTACATTTCATCCATAATCTGGGTTGCGTCATTAATAAAATTTTGCTTTCGATCTTATTGAAACCCATTTCTTCTTTTATAGCAAATGTATTTTCCATTATATGACTCATCTTGTATGTTATTAATTTGGAATTTTTTACAGTCAATTGTCTTACTTCTTGTCCGGTCAGACGAAAATTGTCTTGAAAATATCCTAGCTTAGTATCTATACTCCTTGTGGAATAATTCAGCCATGTAGGATTTTTACAAAGAATGACTTTAATCATTTCTATGTTAAATTGATGAAATCTCAAATATCTTATTCTTGTATGTAGATCATCCATATCTTGTTTAAAGATATATGGATTTTTGGTGAGGAATTTGCCAAAGTAGTCACCGGGTATACCGCAATCGTGTAAGAACCTTATATATGGGAATAGATCCCTTTCAAAGTCTTTAGATAAGAAAAATTCCATCAGATCTACGTTGGTCTCATGTTTATACAATTCTACGCCAAGCTTCATTAATCTTTGTATAGTATCTGAGGTATTTGCATATTTTGCTATATTATAACTGGGAAGTTGATATTGTCCAATGTCGGAGAGATCTTCGGTACACGTGTCCAAAGCTTCAGGTAACTTGATATTTTCATCGCAAATACCTAAATCTTCTACATCAAGTTTTATTTTTGGAATTGAGTTAGAAACGTTCGATTGAATTTCTTTTAGATTCTCTACAGGTGTAATCTCGTTCGTTAAGTTATCAGTTTTTTCATTCAAATCTCGTTCCTCAAATTGAGATGTAATCATTAAAGGACGTGTATTGGGATTAGTCGAATCATTTACATTTTCTACCTTTTTATCATAGTCCACAATATTGTTAATACTTTGCGACAAAAAGCGTAAAGCATTAGTATTTATATCATAAATTTGTTTCGCATTGCGAATGCAGGCATAACAACGTATAGACCACATTTTTATTGCGTTTTATAATTGTAAATTAAAACACATAAAATTTACATATTACAATTTTTAACATTAATTTTATAAGTTTGAAGAGATTGCATTATCCTGTAAAATAATAATTAAACGCCACGTTTTGATAACATAACCATATCACGGACATGGATGTTTCTATCAAAATACGGTGATAATGATCTTTCGACGTAAACCGTTTTTACGATCGTTGTATAAAAAAGTAATCGAACGACACATAGGATCAGGTTATCGATTTTTCCTTTACTATCAAACTTTCATTTGATGCTATTATTTTCGTATTATCGTTACGGCCATTTACTTGCCATGTAAATATATAGATATAATTTGTGTGACTTTTATTTATCTATTAAGACGTTACGTTACAATACTAATATCACACACGATACATATTCGTTTCATTTCTAATGTTTTTTCTTAAATGATATAAATCGGTCGAACATTAATTTTTATCCGAAAGCGAACTCCAATGGAGGTTATTACTATGTTTGGTTATGATCTGCATTATCGACATTGTATAGGTCCATTTGTCCGTAGTTTTGTAAAACTTGATAGATTTACTACTAGATGTGGCTTCGTCAATGCAAATTACAATTTCAAACCAATTGCAATTGATTCTTTGTTTCTTCCAAATTTTACTTTCTTTTAATTTATTATTATTCTTCAATCGTTAAATTTTTGCTCATTATGTCGCATTATCATAACGTGATACCGAGATGTATATAAAGAAAACTTAATGTAATTAATTAATTGACATAAGAAAAAAATTATAATTCAATATAAAACTATGGATGTTGTTTGTTCATACATAAAAACATGAGGAGTCGAGTTAATTTTCTTCGTGGGAATATATTTAATATTTATGATTTGTTTTTAAGTTGTACGTAACGAAGATATAATTTATCTCCGTAACCATTAAATGCATATGAAGAGAGAGAGAGAGAGAGAGAGGATTAAAACAATAAGAAATTATTTTAATATATTTTCTTTTCCTTTTATTATTCGGTCCAGGAAGCATTCGAAGGCAAGAATATTACGGCCGTAAATAGGATAAACTCTTATGTACTCGTTTCTTTCGCGACTAACAGATCTTTCTTCCTTTTTAATCGGACATCAACTCTCTCTCTTTGGCAATGAACTTTCCTTGTATCCCGCTAGTGTATCCGCGACTACGATACCGGCAAGACTCTCTACGATAAGTTCTCTTACAAAGATAGAAGAATTGCAAATACCTAAGATTATTGTCAGGAAGAAAAAATTATTTATAAAAAGATTAAAAAATATATATTCTACGAGAGGATGCTTTTGAGATGTGCCATCTTCGTTGGTCTCATGTCCGTCGTGGCCACAATTATTTATTTAACACCAATACCGGGTAAGTTTATTAAAAAAGTTCGAGTGTTTAGTTTCTTCTTCTTTCTTTTATTTTTAGATTCCCCCCAACCTTTTTCTCATGATTTTTCATTAAAAATACGTGCTAAATTTGAAAAGTAATAAAGATGCAAACTTTGCGTATATGGCAAACAGACGTTAGAAATTATCTACAATGGACCGAAGTGTTAAACTTCCTTTAGAATGTAGATAGAGTTAGAGCGATAAGTGATGCTCTTGAAAATCGTTTTATAAACCTTTTTATCGTCGTACGCGTCGAACAAGATATATAAAACTTTGTAATTTTATTCATATATCTTTTTTTTTCAAAGTTACTTTCATAAAATTAAAACAAAAAAACAATTTAATACCAAAGAAAATAGATATGGGAGACGATACAGTTACTTACCTGATATAGGTATTCCGATAATTGTAATGAACATCAGGTGAATGACCTGGGAGCCTGCACTGTATCCGTTCTGCAAGGAGCCTATCACTTGTGCTGTAACACGACCATGGTCAAGGAGTCATAAAGTGCGTGAACGCTGGATGCCTTTTTTTTTTTTCACTCGATTAAACCTTAATACGTATACGATCGAATAAAACTAGAGAGAAATTGAAATATTTTACGGTATTTCAAAAGAGCATAGTTCTCCAATATAAACCGACTTGATTTCAAATCTAACTGACCGACTTCGATATATTAGAAATGTTTTCACCTATGAATATTTTTTATTTATAAATATAAGAAAAAAGCGTGTTCACTTTCAATTTCATTATTAACAATAATAAACCGAATAATAATAAATGAGGTTTATTAATAATAATAGAATTATTAATTTCATACGAACTTTTTATTAGGATCTTTCAAATCATAATAACAATAAATTTCATTCTTAAAAGGTGATATATATATATATATAGATCGAAAGTAGTAACGTGAAAGCGTTGTATCTGCAAAAGTGAAACACTCAAATTTCCTTTCGTTTTTAAGAAGAGTCAACGCGTCAACGCTTTCGTCTTGTCATCGAGACACCATTGTGATGAAATTTTACAAAGGATTAATGGCTCGCAAAAAACGACCGTCATCATTTTCGCTTTACTAGGACACCGGCGATTTCGAGTTTATCTTCTTGATTTTTCCTGATGATGCACTTTTGACAAATCTTAGGTAATTTCTTTTCCCATCTTTTATCAGAGAAATAATCGCGGGGATCAATCTTTTTTTATCGACATAGATATTTCTTTTCTCTCTCGAAATCAACGAACCGTCTGTAGTTGTAGCCGATCAGTAAATTTATTACAAGCGGAAGAGAAGTTGAGAATAATCGAGAGTAAAACGAGAAAGTTTTATCGTTTCTATTATTCTTCGAAGATATCTTTGGTAAGGTAAGAAAAGTTCGAAGTGAAAGAACGAATAAAAAAACTAACAATGGGATGTTAAATTGAATCTTTTAGTCGTAAAAGAGAATTGCCACGGATAATTTAAACGCAAAAACGAAACATGTTACGTACGGGAACATGTAAAAAACGCCTTCCTCGTGAAATTGTTCTTACGCCATCGGTATAGCCAGGAAATATATATATAATACCGAATATAAGGAAACGTGTTTAATGCCGTTTTCGAAAATTATTTTTATATACTATACAGCGCTCTTGTCTCGATTTCTTGAAACTAGTTCAGGATATAATGCTTCATCAACATTTTTCTTGATCGATCTATTGAACAAATCATTCGAACATTGCGATATTAAGCGAGTCTGATAAGATAATCAACCGTATGGATGATCAAAACTCAATGACAACATTCAATTTTACAGGAATGAGCTTGTTATCTCGTTGATAATCACTATTCACGTGAACTATATAATTCGTGATGGCAAAATTATAGTGCTTTTCTCGATAGGATAACTCTTTGAATACGACACGTCTATAATTGCGTTAATATCGCTACGGTCTGTTAATCCGTGTTCTAAATATTCCTATTGAGGGAATATATCGGGCGATTCAATAATTATTATCACTTCAAATATATATATATATATATATATATATATATATATATATATATATATATATATATACATATATATAGTTATTTTTGATTTTATGGAAAAAATACTTACGAAGGACAAAGTTACACCATTTCTACGTCTGCCGATAAAAAGAATGTTGTCTCAAAGTCATTTTTCTTACGAGCATTCAAGATCATCGGTATTACTTTTAAATGGAACCGATTTTGCTTTACACTTATTGACTCCTTGTGCCAATCTGAATAAAAAAGGACACAAAAATAATTAGATATATTGAAAAAATGCCTTGTTTTGCTCGAAATCAGAAAAAAATGTTAATGGAAAAAGATGAATGGTTGAAGATGAACTACATATTCATACTTTTTCACAAGTGCACATGTATTATTGCTGATATGATATTTGAGGTGGTGATAGTTATTACACCACTCGGTATATATTTTTCGTTAGAGAGTTTTAATAATAACAGCTTTCAATTCGTATGGCTTTTCCGGTGTTTCGAAATCTACAAAGTGTCACGTGTGTATATATATATATATATATAATGTGTAATACATTTTCTTTATGAGATATATAATGCCTTTTATCGAAAGGTGAGAACGAGATTTTTGTCGTATCTTATGGAAGGTATTCTTTTTCAAGTAGAAATTAATCCAAAGTCGCTTTTTTTTTAAACAATGTTTCTATTTCTTTCTTTCTTTTTTGTTTTTTTTTTCGTTAAACCAGAAACAAGATGAATGGTAAGTGTATTATAAAGATTTGTAACCAACTCTTTTTTTTACGTTTATTTTGATTGATGACAAATATAATCATCGAAAGTCACTCAAGCACTTGAGTAGAAAGCGTTACGTTTTATGTAAAAGCAAAATATTCTTCAAAGATTTTAAAGAACATTTTAAAGAAAGCGACGCTTTAAACCTTCTCCACTTTTAAACAATTTATTTTTCTTTTATGCCTTTTTTTATATCCATTTTATCAAAGTAATATGACTTATTCCTTAGAATTGAAAATCCATTCGTCTTAATATTTGCTTTCGCTTTGAAAAATCATTCTCTTGGCAGTAAACATATTTTTGCTTTCATCTTTACTTATCTTTATCTTCCTCCCTTTGAGTAAATGTTTAGAACTCTAAACATCAAAGAAAGAAATTTTTTGTCAATTTCATTTTCACATACCTGTGATTCTTGACTTAATTTATTAGACGAAATTCTAGTGAAAGTGAAAAGCTCAGTCGATCGAAAGTACAACGCAAAGGAGATTTAAGAAAGAGAAAGGTCACGATATGAAAGTGTAGTTGTGTTAAAAGCGAAGTGAAAAGAAATATCTGAATGAGTATGCGAGTTTAAAGATGCGCGCGTGTGTGTGATCTGTGGATTTTGATGAGGGTGGGAGAAAGAGACAACACGAAAAATATTCTCTCATTGGTCGACCGTAAATACGTATATGTATCCATACATATATGTCTTCTCAACAGTCCATACATGCACGTGTATTCGCGGAGTCAAGAAATGGCTTCAGGGTAACTTTCACTGATCATTTCGCCATCTCTTCGGAGGCGACGCCTTCGAATTTCTTGCAGGTCAATTCGAACATCTTGATTCTATGCGAATAAGTGTTAAGTCAAATACGAAACCAGTTGTGTTTTTTTATCAAAGGATATTTGATAAGAGAAAAAGTAAAAATGAAAGGATGATCGGTGAGTTTTATAAAAGCAGGTGTGTTGAGAGAGAGAGAGAGAGAGAGAGAGAGAGAGAGAGAGAGAGAGAGAGAGAGACAGAGAGACAGAGAGACAGAGAGAAAGAGAAAGACAACACATGGAGAAGTGTTCGGTAAACGAAATTTGTGCGCGAATACCTCGTCAGTCGTTGACGGGAGAGCGCGAAGTTATCTACGACTTTGTCGTACTCGAAGTTAATTTATGTGATCGTCGACAGAGTGGTGCAGTGAAATATGAACATTTTTCATTTTTTTTTCTTTTTCTTTCCTTTACCAACCAACCGATCGAATTCTTTCTAATTCATTTTCTTATCCAACTGTTTTTTAATCCTTTGATGATATACATATATCATGCATGTCAAACAATATTTTCGTTCATTTTCTAATTTTCTTTTTTTCTTTTTCATCAGCTTTGGTGGCGGTATTCGCAAGTGATAATATTTCATAATAATTTTCTGAAAGGGAAGATGGATGTTTGCCAAATAATATCTGATATTGTACATATTTTCAAATATTTGTAAATTGATTGAGACAAATTCATCAAATATCAGAGGATGCATAAAATTTAATAAAGTAAAAATATTAAATACTAAATTAAAAAATATCGAAGGAATATATCTAATATTTAAAGCTCAAGTAATTCATAAATTGTACACAGTAAAAACGTAGGGTAAAAAATTAGTTGCATTATCAATTATACTTAACTGATTCTAATTTTAATCGTATTAATTTATTATGCTTCATGTTGATAGAGAATTTTACGAATGAGACTTTTATAGCGAGTTGGCGACAAAATGAAACGGTATAAGGTGAAACGTAAATGAAACGGAACAAAACGATATGAAGGAGAGAGGATGAGAGAGAGAGTTAGGTAGAGTACGTTTCGATTTCTTCATATATCTTCAGAGAGGCAGAAAAGAGAGAAGGAGATAGAGCACAATATAGCGACAAGCCGTGCACGTAAATGTATGCGTTTATTTTATTCACTTTCTCATTCATTCGTCTCTCTCTCTCTCTCTCTCTCTCTCTCTCTCTCTCTCTCTTTCCTTCTCCCATCCCGTTCCTAATTTCTCTTCGACTCATTCTTTGTCTTTCGAGTTCTCTTTGTCCTTTCACCAATCCCAATGTTTACCTATCAATCAAATTATACAAAAACGATAAAAGATCAGCTTTAATTATGGATGCGTTACTTCAGTTATCTCGTTCGAATTGAAAAAAAATTTAATGAAAAATAGAATGAAACAATATGTTTATATAAATATGTTATTCTTGATATTTTTAATATAACTTATAATTATTCGATTCTCTCTCTCTCTCTCTCTCTCTCTCTCCTTTTATCTCTAAAATAGCATGAGAAGTGGAAAGTTGAAGAATTCAATTAAACTAAATTAAATTAAATAAAGAAATTTCACTTTTATCGTCTGATAAACACAAAGTTTATTAAATTCATTAATGTTATTATTTCAATTCAAATTCTAAAAGCTTAGATATAAATGACGATTTACGGAAGGAAAAATGAATCGTAATTTACTGTTGTAGACATTTTGTACGACGTGTTACGCCAAGGTCATTTAAATTTTTACATCATAGTATAATATCAAATAATTACGGTCAAGAACGAATAGAAGTATCATCTAAATTTTTTTCATTTCTTACCCCTGAGCGGTGCGTCCATTATTCATTCATTACTAGCACATGCACTCGCCGTTATAGCTTTCTAGAGGATCATTTTGCTTCAATATAATTTAGTGGATGATATAAACGTCTGGAAAGGAATTACGAAGAGCTTTGCTTGCTACGTTACTGACACGAGATCAGGTTTATGAAATCGATAAATAATATTAAGCTTCGTGGCTTTTTTTTATATTTCCTGTGCTTTCTGTAAGAGCTTCTTACGTGGCTAATTGAAATTAAAAACATGTAATTAAAAGTTTACCTATGATTTTATAATCAGATGCTCTGGTCTTCACCTGCTCGACGTCCCAATTTCGTCGTTTTCTACGTTAATCGATTTTTTTCGAAATATTCATTAAAAAGCAAATTTATTTATAATATATTAAAGAAGTATTACTTTATTCTCATATTATTCCAAAATATATTAATCGTTTCGTCATAAAAATTTGAATCAAACATGATGTTCGAAAACTTTGTACATTTTAATAATGAAAGTGATCGATTTATTTAAATATTGTTACAAATTGAAAAGAGAAAAATAAAAATCAATAAGTCAATTTAATCGATATTTAATCGGCAAATTAACGTTACAAAAAGGAGATAGGCCGAACAAAGGCGTTTAATATAGAAATTAGTATAAACATTAAAATGTCGTCACCAGTTGTTATCGTTGCGTAACAAATAAAAGGTACAAAATTAGGTAGACGATGTATATTACTAAGGAAGCGAGCAGAACGGTGTCACCGAGCACTTATGTGCTAAGGTGCTTCGTGGTAGTGACGATGATCGCTGCTGCTGCAACATTTCTACATTTAAATAATTATAAGCCGAGTAAGTTCGAAGCTCTCTCGTTCATTGTCATTTCAGAAAACAGCAAAACCATTCATCGATTTATAGCCATTGACACTTTCTACGAACAACTTTCCTGTTCCTTCAATGATTTCTTTTTTAGAAAGTTATGATTTTTAATTATTAACCGTGAATTTTTTATTTATTTATCTTTTTTCAGAACAAACTTTCTTATCCTGTGACAGACCATGTCATCATTTAGATTGGCCAATGATTTGTCGGGTGAAACTTACGTTGGAAGTGTTCCAATCGCTCAGCAAGTAAGATGTAATCCCTTTCTCTCTTTTTCTCCTACATTATAAGAAATTTTCTTTTCTAATCCGATGAACTTGAAAAACAAGAAAGGCTTATATGTGATCTTCGTCGTATCTTTGTATAAATGTGCCATTGACTTTTTATTTTATTTTGAATTCCTCTAATAATATAATATTAATATTAATTGCTATTTGCTAGAGTAGAAACTATTTTATCGCATATATTCTTTTTTATTTATACTGATAGCGAGAGAAACGATATCCGTTCGTTGTCATACGTTGGACTAACAATATCTTGACTATCTTGACTGGCTGACATTATCGAATTAGACAAACCATAGCCCCGCTTTTTTTTTTCTTTTCTATTTCTTTCATTCGATTAATCACACGGTTGTCTCATACGGATGTACATGTCTATATTTTAATCATAATTAGCCGTGACTTGTCTAAATGTCGTAATGAAATCTTATGAAATTTTCTCTAGTATAACGGTTACTGCAACGCGGAAGAACTTGGATCAACCGCAAAATATTTAATCGAATATCCAGTAATAAAGGTTTCTTCTTTACGTATTAAATCTGAGATATAAAGCAAAATTCTATCAAAAAAGAATTCTTTCCCTATGCATTAAATTTTGATTGTGTAAATTTTGAAAGCGTTTACTTTCTATGCGTTATTATTACTCTCGTCTGAAAACAAAAATAAAAAAGGAAGAAATTTATTGAATTTCTAGATCATGTGGAAATTGCTTATCGAACGAGACCGCTTGTCTGGCTAATAATTGTGTATCAGCGGATGGACAAAGGCGGGCTATTATGACGGCGAATCGACAAATGCCAGGACCCAGTATACAGGTAAAATTATGATTATAAGTTATTTAAATAAGGATTATTATTATTATCATTATTATCATTATTATTATTATTTTTATTATTATTATTATTATTATCATTATTATTATTATTATTATTAATGTTATTGTTGTTGTCCATTCGACGTAAGTCTGATCATTTTTACGCTTATTTTTGAAGAAACAACGAATTACTTTAATGCAGCATATTTCTTATGGCTTTTCATTTTAGCAATTTACTTCATAATTCAGAGTTTGTGTTTATTTATCAATTAATTATGTGTCAACCGATAGAATACGCTTTTTAATTGACATCTCATATCTGCTTTAAACGATCGAGATTTTCAAGCTGAGCGTACTTAGTAGATTAATATGGTACTATACTTGCTATAAGCACATTACGTAATTAGATTAATTATTCGTTAGAAATTAAATTACATTATAGGTGTCGAAATTGATTGGCTATCGATTAGAGGCAGTATTCAGTGTTGCTTTGAAATGTCACAAGTTCTTCCCCTTTTTATATGCATTCAGTCGATCCATCGAATCACTTTTTATCTGTTATAGAAACTACATAATATAAAAACCTATATAAGATGTGACTTTACGCTTGACGAAATTCCATCAATATTGATTAGGTAGTTTGCCGTTTCTATTGTGATGCTTCAATACACCCACTTCATTTATTTGTTTATTTATTTATTTACTTATTTATTTATTTTTATTTTCCTCACAGAAAATGATTCATTTCCCATAGAATAATAATAGGATATAAGAAATAAAAGGATTCTCCATTCTTCTGACTATTAGTAATTTGATAAATGTCAATTAAGATAAGGAATTCGTCATTGCAGGTTTGCGAGAACGATATCTTAGTAGTGGACGTAGTTAACAAACTTCCAGGTAAAGCGGCATCGATACATTGGCGTGGTCAATCCCAAATTGAAACACCCTGTATGGATGGTACGCCGTTGGTAACGCAGTGTCCAATACCAAGCTATACCACTTTTCAATACAAGTTCCGAGCGTCAGCTGCTGGCACACATCTATGGCATGCACATGCAGGTTCTTATCTTTCTATAGCCATATAGATTTATAGACCAATTTATTTATATAAAAAGCATTTAACTGGTTCGGTTGTAAGACACTTGTATACTTTCTTTCGTATCATACGATCGTATAATAATTTTTATCTTTCTCGTTATTTCTACTTAACAAAAAAAAGTTTAAATAACTCTAATTGTTATCTATGTAGTGATCAATTTGATAAGCATAATTGTCGATTTCACCGGACATGGTCAAAATCGAGATGTTTCCTTGAGACATTTTAATTGCTTAAAAGATAATAAATTTGTAAATTTTTTTTTTCTTTTTTTATCCCGTTTTCTCTACCAGGTGCCGACATAACGAATGGCGTTTTTGGATCGTTGATAGTCCGACAAGCAGATATTCGCGATCCTCAACGTGCTTTTTATGATGTCGATGACCCGAACCACGTGATACTAGTTACGCACTGGCAGCATTCTCCGGAAATGTCACTCGATCATGGTCATACAAAGCCAGCGATACTTCTCGTCAATGGTAAAGGACGGCAGATGAATGGACCAAAAGTTCCTTACACGACGTTTACCGTCGTTCCCGGACGACGTCATCGTTTTCGAGCTGCCAATGCTGGCGGCGCTGGATCTTGTCCCATTACAATTTCTATTGATAATCATTCTCTTTACTTGATAACTTTGGATGGTCAACCTATCGAACCTCGATACGTTACATCGATTACTTTAGCAAAAGGTTCGTGTCGAAATTCAAATAACGTAACGTTCGATTTAATCCTTTCAATATTCATTTTGATCTCTTTATTGATTCAAATTTTTATAATTGAAAAGTTGCCCTGATAACGTTAAAATATTATATTTACTGAGCAATTTGTTTATTGCTGGAATTAACGTTATTATATTCATCGGTCGTGGTGCTTTTTGCTTGATATTCTATCGTTATTTATGGGAATATATTATGTCTGAAGATAGCCATCGTTCTTGATCGATAATGTTTCTTTGCGAACGTCATCCATCAGAATGAAATATCCCTAAGTACCTAGTGGCTGGTAACATATTTGTTTGTGCGCGCAACATTTTAATCCTTTACAGACAATATTTGATAATGTACTCGAAGTTTATACCAACAATCTCTATCGGTATGATGAATTAGAGTATTCTGATATACAATTAAATTTTAATTTAATTTCATGTCCAATCAGCATTCAGTCTTGTTCCTTTAATTGAAAAAATTAAAAAGTCGCCGTAAGATTTAACCGAGAGAAAGCCCAAGGCAAGGGCAAAGGTTTAATGCATGCATGCATGCACGACCGAGTTATCTCTCGCGAGAAGACTTTTCAAAAAACTTTTTTATTGGCAGATCGTCTTCTCCTGTAACACTATCAATGATGTATAAAGTGTTGCCAGGCACGATATTCCAATACATAGTTACCGAGCCATATAAATCATATTCTCACAATAATCCGTTTTCGAAGATGTTTACCTGTCATGCCTTTTGCAAAGTATATTCACCAATGCTTTTCATTGCCTTTAAATTTCTTAGTGGATTATAAAACGATAAAGACATTTTAATTAGAAAGTTTTCCATTATCTTTACGTTATGAGTTTCTTTAACAGGCGAGAGAGCAGATTTCATATTAAAAGCGAGCAAAAAGATCTCCTCTTATTGGATGAACGTAAATACGCCAAAGAAATGCGGAACAAGTCCTGTTTATGGTGCTGCAATTGTAAAATACAAAGGGAGTCCTGTGGATCGTTTACAAAGTACTCATTCTGACGATATTACGGTCGATCAAAGCGAAGATCAGGAAATGGAGACGAATCGAATCGCGATGACGACCGTTTACGATGATATTACATGCAACAATCCTGAGAATCTTTGTATCAACGAAATTCGAGGAATGCGTAAAATGCCAAAATCTCTTACTACCAAAACCGATATGACCATTTACCTACCGATTAATAACGTGATCCAGTCAACCGATTCAGTAGGTTAGTTCAAATATCAATACGTTCAAATAATTCAAATTTATTTATTTCGTTAAAATTTCAGAGAAGAAGAAAAACATTATAACTTATTTTTGTTATAATATAATTAAATGAATTCAAAAGGAAAAACAATAGGCGTCAACGACAACAAAACTGAGATCTATGTAATTTGTTATCTTTTTAGAAGATGCCGGCGTTGATATAAAATCCTTAAATGTGAACAATGTTACGTTCACTTATCCTTCGTCACCGTTATTGACGCAAAGCGGTGACATACCGAAAGGCTTGCTGTGCACGGGAAAGGACGAAGACGATCATAATGAGAACAACGAAACTGCGTCTTCCTCCCGAAATTGTCACAATGGTAATGGAGAAGCCAACGAAACGTGCGAATGCGTTCATATACGTTACATTCCTCTCGGAGCGACTATGGAAATAATTCTCTTGGATCAAGGTAACTTATTTGCTCGGTAATTTCGATTATATATATAATTATGATGAATAAATATTTCATTATTGCTGTTGCGTTTAAAGCTACAGCAATTTTGTCAAATTGTTGAGGAGTAGCTGAAATCGTTCGAGCGAGCTAACTAAGGACGATTAGAAATTAATTTTCTAAAGGAAGAAATAGAATATCGAAAGTTTTACTTTTGTTTACGTAATTAAAAAATTACGTAATTAAAAATTTAATAAAGAATGACATAAACGCCGACCATCGTGTTTTCTCGTTACGTTAATTATCAGAGAACCAACCGTTCGAATATTTTCTTTTCTTCGTATTCAAATATTTGTCTCGAGATAGTTGAGTGAAATTCACAAAAGATTTCACGAGGAAAATCGTTACGTCATTTTCCGTAACCTATAAACAAACGTGGAAAGTGAAAATTCGTGGCTAGCAAGTTTCCTGTATCATCTTGAACGACGAGTTTTAAGTAGGTCATTGTATAAGGCTTCGCTTCACGTTGGAGTAAGTAAACAAAATAGAAACAGAGTAGTTTCGTTAATTAGAAATTATCACCTTCGCTTGTAATCTGAGAATAGTTGTCAAAAATAGAAGGAAAATTTTTCGAAATTCATTATACTCGTGTGTCATACTTCGATATTACATTTAACGAAAATATCACAATGTCGATGTAAAATTATAATACGAATAATAATGTGAGAATTTTTAATTAGGATATATAATAACAATTATAAGTTTTTCATTTGTCTTCGTTGTTTCGCCCGTACCTATTTTTAATCCTATTCTTTTGCAAAAGTTCGTATAATTTTTAATGATCGATAGAGAACTCGAGAAAAATAGAGAGAAAGGGAGATCTTGCACTTGTAATAGGTTGCATTGATCCTTGACATCAGACTTTTTTATTACACTTTTCTACGAAAGCTTAAAATATTGATCCTTCACTCTGTCCTTCCTACTTGTTGTTTTTTCTAACTCTTTCATGAGTTGTTCTGTCAATCCATATCTTTCCGATAAGACAAATCTCATGCAGACATAAAACCTACTCTGCCATTTGTAAATTGTGAGGGACAGACGTATTCTCCATCTAGTCGCACTAATTGGGAATCGTGACGTGATTCCGCTCGGGCGCAGCTACAATTCTTCTGTTATTCCTCTTCGAATGCATCATATGCGCGCGATATCATGCATTCACATTGTACGGCATAAATCGATTGTCCACCGCTTGCCGAAGATCGAACATATTTTTGCTCCTTCAAACGAAACGGACAAAAATAGTTTCTTTCCAAATCATTTTCCTTATTTGGTCGTAGATTTCAACAATTTTGAATTCCTTTCTAGACACAGCGGCTTGCCAAGAACCGCAATCCCTCGTCAGTAACGTGGTTAATAAGCCGACATAATAGTCCGATCCATTGCGTCATCTGACCATGGTGAAACAGCTCACCTTGCACGCCTGCAGTAGTTATCGGGTTTTCCGAAGCTTTACTATCTTGCCGCGTGTGGTGATAAAGAGAGAGAGAGAGAGAGAGAGAGAGAGATGGGATGGGATGGGGAGAGGGCAGAGAGACAGAGATAGGTGATTTTAGTGACGTGCGTCACTTATCCGACGAGGAAGAGCAGTCATGGGATGGGCAGAAGAGTATAAGTCAAATTTTGTTCCAGACAAAATGAATTAACGCTAATATACTCTACATATGCTGTCCTTTGCTTTGTCGTTTTAATCGTACAAATCAATTCTACTTCTTTCCCCGCTTTTTCACCTGAGATTCTGATGAAAATTTAAGGAGTGAAAATTTTGCTCGAAATAATATGTCGTAATTTGTAAAAAGACAAAAATATCTCTAAATCGATTATGATGTATATTTTGTATCGTTCAATGAGGACGAGGCGTATGTTATCAATGTCCATAATATAAGGCGGTACATGTTTCATTGTAAATATTATAAGTGCTTTTCCACGAAGCTAATAATTCTGTCTTAATCTATTATTTTGCCCGTCTAATAGAAAAATGTCAATCTACAATGTGTCGTTTCTTTTATAGAGTTTTTGTTTTTATTTATCGCTTCAAAGAAAATTACAACTTTTAACAATTAAGAAGCATTTTTGAATAATTTTGAAAATAAGTTTAATCATAATCTTATCATCTTTCTTTAGCTGGAATGAACGATCTTGTTTACCATCTACACGGATACAACTTTTACGTTGTCGGAGTTCAAAAATTTGGTAGAAGCATGTCTCTGGATGATGTTAAGCATCTTGACAGGAAGGAATTACTTTTCTTCCGTAATTTGGATTGTGCACCGTCGAAAGACACAATAACAGTGCCAAAATTTGGCGCTGTCGCTCTCAGATTTAAAGCTAATAATCCTGGTAATATTCAAAAGCTTACGATATATAATCATTTAAGATCGATTCAGTTCAGTCTCGGTTCAACCTCTCGGTTCTATCATTTCAATCACAGCTTAGCCATTTACATTGGCACATATTAATTCAATACAGTTACATTGCCAGTCACATTATACGAATCCTACTCATAGGAGACGTAGAGAGAGAGAGAGAGAGAGAGAGAGAGAGAGAGAGAGAGAGAGAGAGAGAGAGAGAGAGAGAGAGAGGGTAGAAGGTGGGGATAGGCGGATCTCCATTAATAGTTTTGAAAAAACTATTAATCGTTGCAGATCGATCACGAACGATACGGGACATAGAGAAAATAGGACGGATCGGTGACTGAACTGAGACTAAATTGAAATGCGTGAACGTGTACATTTAAATTACATACAATAATATTCAAAACACATTTTGAATTTGATTGGAACGGAGATTGAAGCGAAATGTGTGAATCGAGCTTTATGCGTTAAAACTATTTCATTATTAATATCCATTCACGATAGTAATCTCTGATCGTATTCATACTCAATATTAATATTGAATACCGTCGAATTTAGGATATTGGATGCTGCGAGACGAACACGCTGTCGATTGGACCCGTGGCCTCGATGTTATCCTACAAGTTGGTCAACCTAATGAGATGATAGCAGCGCCACAAGATTTCCCAAAATGTGGCTCCTTCATCGGACCCGACTACTTTCTGATATAGACCACTTTATATTTCATTAATAAACGATTTGTAAATAATTGTATATAATGTAAAATGAAATGTTCGCTGCTGGGATAATATTATTTTTTGTTAACAATAAACGATTCACATTCATCACGTTCACGATGTTAATAATTTTTAATCGATATTAATCGTAAGCCAATGGCCAACGAACAAAAGAATGACGCAAAACGTCAACTCTCGGACTCGTCCGAGGTGTCAATCTAACCAATATTATTTTTCTCCTTTCGATCGAAATACTACCGTCGGAAAATCGGAAAAAAAGAGATCAGGCTGATGAGCAGGGTTGTCAGTAATGTCCTGTCTGAACGGCGTACACGCCCAGATAGTCACGTTCTTTTCCGTTCCCCATGAGATTCTCTCCCTTCAGCACAAAGTTTTTCGCGAATATGCCAAGGTAGCCGTTGGTCCGGATTTCATTCATACCTTGCCGTCACTTTTGATCTTGACCGCGATGACGTTAGTTTTCTGGAAAAATCCACCGAATTCCAAGTGGTTCTTTCAAGCTACAAACGGCTTCCCATTGATCTATAAAACTTTTCAGGTAATGGCATATGTTCCTCTTGCTTTTCAAGTCGAATTTAACGATCCAAACTCTGACTCCTTTTTTCTCAATAAACTTTCAAGATCGCCACCGCATGGGCAGCAATCGATATGGTTTTTTGGTCTTGGTTGATTTTCCAAAGAATACTTTATTGCATGGTTTGGTTTTATTGGAGTTACGTAAGTATACTCGTGGGGAAAGTGCAAACTGTTTAAATGAACCACCATAATGGAATTTATTTTCTCATCGTATCGCTTCTCTGAGTCTAACCCTAATTATGCAGGAAACTGAATATCGTGACATAGTTTATCCTTGGTGGCAACGAGTTTGGTCCTTGTATTATCCGTCCCCAACGCAATCACCAGTTCTCTCGGCCGGCTTCATTAGTTGGACCATTTCAATGTCACTTTCAGTCTCGGCGTTAGCCTGTGCAATATCTACGAGTCGTGTCAGAGCCTTCCTCGACGATTTTTCAATCGTTCTACAGGATTTATTTATCGCGATTAAACATTATATAGAATATCTCACGAAGAAGTTAGTGTTGTATAGAAATGTTTCTTTTAGAATTTTAATTGAATTTTCTTCATCGAATATATTTAAGAATAATTAACAGTATCAAATTCCCATATCTTAATAATCGAAATATATTGAACATATCTTTAAATAATTGGAGTATACGTTGTTTTTTTCTTTTTTTTTTAATTAACACTGTAATTTCCTCATAGAATACGTGAAATTGCGTTGTCCTGGGATAGTGACAAGTCTTCTTGCGATGGTGCGGATGGAAGCGATCTCAGTTCTCTCTGCGAAGACTATGGATCGGAGATCTCAAATGATATTAAACAAACGAAACGTCAGCAGGTGCATCCGATCTGTTATGGAACTAACTGGACGCCCAAGCCGAATTTCTTGAATTTTGGTAAAGAGACGCAGAGGAAAGCATCGATGAAGTCGGTGCATACTGTAACGGGTGTCGCAGAAACACAACGAGCAGAGAAATTTTCACCCAGACGTCATAAACGTGGCTGTCACACAGCTATACCTAGCAATTCGAGTGACAAATCGAGCGGATGTTAAAATCATTCCATTCTTTGGAGAATGTTTTTTTGTCATTTTTACTACAAATATAGATACAAGCATCATGATTCGATGATCCGAATGATGATTATTTTTCTCTTTTTCTGCCTTTTTTCTTTTCTTTTTTTCCTTTTTTCTTTTTTTTTTTTTTACTTTGCTTTTATTCGATTTGGGAAGAATGAATGGACTTCTTCCCTGACGATGATCGGATCATTAATTTTTTTTTATAGGTTGAACCTTCGAAAAGAATGAATTGACACTTCGATATCTTGTGAATAATTGATTAGGTATAATAGTTTAAAAGTAAAATTGAAAATCGCGTGATTTCGTTATTTAGACGAATAACATTGAACGCTTTAGAGCGTTTTATATTCTTATTATGGATAACATGAGATTACGTGAAAATAACTTTAGGATGAACTTTTCTTATAAAATTATTTCTTTTTCTGTGATCCAATAAAGTAAATTATGGTTTATTTTTATGATTCTCCATTAATCATCTCTAGAATATTTTCTTTGGTGAATGTTTCTCTTCGTCTCCTGTATGCATCGATGGTTTTAAATGAATATATTTATAACGTTTTACATAATATTTGTAAATCATCGTTATTTATTTGCACAAATGTGTATTACACAGATATAAAAGAACGTACGTTAATGTCGCATCTCATGTTATCCTTCTTTAATCGATGAAAAAAAAAAAAAAAGAAAAAGTGACGAGAGTCCTGCGACTCTCTGTATAGCCAGGATTTCCATGGCCCGATCACGAGAGAAGGTATACATTCTCATTGCGCATGCGTCTGTAGTATAAGGAGGGAGATAAAAACATACACACACACACACACAGAGAGAGAGAGAGAGAATTACTCTCCCCGTCTTGCACCGAAGCATTATTCTGTAACGATATTCCTTGTGGGGTAGGTCGAACAAAATAGCGGTCGGTAATTTCAGTCGAAGGCATATTAAACAAATAAGAGAAAAATATATTCCGTCGAATGATCAAAACTGTGACCTTTCTTTTTAACTTTACCATTTGATATTTTTAAGTAGAAAAGAAAAAACTCATCAAATTTTTTTCAACCTTTTTTAATTCCGACGAAAACGAAACTTATTTCACGATTTTTTTCTCGATCGGATTACTTTTTAAAATTTTTGAAGTGAAATTGTGATATTCGTTTCCGACCTCCGTTTTTTTTCTTTAATTGTGACGCATTTGGTAACAAGATCACAGAGTTTTTAGAACGAAAACAAAGAAAACTTTTTTGGTAAGTTTTGTTATTCTTTCAAAGATATTTAACATATCAGTCTTGTGTTTTATCGACTATTAATTTGTATCAATAAATCGGTCTGGACGAAACAATCGATAAACAAGGAGAATATTATAAAAGTTTAAGTTGGCTTTGAGATATTATAGACATTTGAGAGCTCGTAGAGATTTTTATTATTAAAAACGTTCATGGTTAAATATCCGTCCACGTGTACGCGAGTAACGTGATATAAACCTTGTTATTGATTTTGCGCTGCGGTTTCTAGCATGAGCATTGTGTGCGCGCGCACGCACGCACGCACGCACGATGGTCCATGGAAGCGAATTGGATCGCACGAAAACAATCGCATATATAGGCAGATGACGCACAGATACGTACATGTATATTTGCGTTCACTGGTCCATAGTAATATCTCGCACGAGTATGAGTGTCGAATCGAAGATCTTGCTGATGAGTGTACAGGGTTACGTAACTCGCATGATCTATAGGTATAATCAGTTTAAGGAGGATAATTCTGTCGCTGGAGAAAATACGAAGATGGAAAATACAAAGATCGTGCATATTAACGACAAAAAATATATTTTAGGATAAGCTATATGAAGAATTTATCATTATTGTTGGATGTGAGATTTTTTATTTGTTGACCTTTTCGAATAATAATATATTAATTAATATATTAATAATATTGTTAATATATTCTTCGATATAATATGTCTTATGATAATTGAATAAATTTCCTCTCGATATACGAATCGCTCCTTCTTATTAATTTTTAATACAATTAATTTACTATGAGTTGATTTTTGGTCAAGTTGATCACTCATTTAGGATTGAATATCAATCGTAAAAGATGTATGAGCGTATATGTGTACTCGTGTCCATATATGCAAATAGGTTCGCGCACAATTTTCCGACGCGTGTTCTTCTTACTCTTTCTCTTCGTTATTTTTCTGCGGATTCGTTTTATTCATTGAATCGATTTGAGTGTGCACATTGAAGTGTGCACGCAATGGAAAAGAAAAAAAATTAAAAAGGAAAAGAAAGGAACAGCTTTTACGGAAAGTATAACTGTGTAAAAAGCTACTTTTATATAATGTCTTTTCGAACAAGTATTTCAATAACATATTTCTGCTTTTCTTTCGAATTTCTAATTTAATTATTATTAAAACAATGAACGAAAGTTAACGAATAACTTTTTGCACGAAGGTGAATGCATTTTTCTTGTTTTGCTCTATTAAAGTAATTTTCCAATTTGTTGTCATAATTTCTTTAATAAAAGCTATCTTCATATAATCATGAATCGCATGTTACCAGATAACGGATTGTCCGATGACACGATTCTTCGTGAAGGAGTAATTTATATAATCGCTCCATCGTCATTTTTTTAATCGATCTTACGACATTAAAATATATGCATCGTATGTTAAAGGTCACGTAAATTCACTCAGTACCTATATAATTCTTAGAATTATACTGTAGAACTTGCCTACTAGAGATTTGAAATGAGCTTTCCAGACAATTGCTTTAAATAACTAAGCTATTCGGGTCCTTGGGGCAACCTGCTTACGAATGCCTATTTAAATTAGAGGAATGGAGACACGACACTGATTCCCAACATTACGAGTACTTTCATATAAAACAAACGATGTATTCATACATGAGATATTTTTATAAAAATTTGCAAATAAAGAAAAAAATAGCGTAATCATTTAAATGAAATAATTGGATTTGTAAGAAGATAAAAAAATATTTATGTCTAATAACGGAGACGTTTTTCTTTCAGAAACAATGACAGAAAAAATGTATTATTGGGACGGGGAGAAGAATCAAAGTGATTCTGATCAGACTTTCATAGAATTTAAAGCAAAATCTGGACCGACGGCAGGGAAGATGAAAAAAGAGGAATCGCATGCTGTTTCGAAAACTTCATCGTCCGCTACTCAAGGAAAATCAACGGATTTTGTGAGTCGCGAAGAAGATGCAGAGCGCGGAGGTTGGGACAATAAATTAGACTTTCTCTTCTCATGCATCAGCGTTTCCGTCGGCCTAGGAAACGTCTGGAGGTTTCCTTATCTTTGCTACAAGAACGGCGGTGGTAAATTAAAGTTTACATTAATTAATATAATTAATTTTTCAAGCCTATCAGTTAAGATCGTCGGAAATTTTTTCATGTCCTCG